GCAATGTCTTTTTCCCTACTTGCATCGTAATACATTTTGGCTTTTATTGCATTCAGTGAACGAATTAAAGAGCCACCCTAGAGGAAGAACTGCCGAAAAATGCAACGACAACGTTAACGGAGGACAAAATCATTGCATCAGCCACATAATCCTCGTCATAGAAAAGAGGCAGACCCTCGTATTCGGTCAACCCCTCATTACTTAAAAAAAAGACGGACCTTCATATTTGGTCAACCTCTTATCATAAAAAACTGGCGAACCTTCATATTTTGTCGAACTGTGCTCATCCAAGAACTCGGCGGCTTTCAGGCCCCTAAAAAGTTCGGGGATCTGGACCCGAAACAATGACATCCAACCTCAATCATCGACGAAGCAGCCCTCGTCCCACTACACCATCGTACCGAACGAATTTACCTCAGAGACGATGTCCTCAAGATCATTGTCACCGAAGAACGATGGAGGCGATCGGGAGCGGGGTGCCCCGTGGCGTGTGTACCCCGACCGCGCCCACCGCAAACACCCCCGCGGCTTCCATGTAATTTGTTCGGCGCGCAGTTCGTACAACCACCGTGTGCAGCGGTTTGTTGAGCCAGTATTATCTCCTCAATCTTCACGTCAGATCCGCAACTTGGTGCCACAACGCCTCGATCGCGGTTTCGCGCCATTCGTCCGCAACATCGTTCCATTTAGGTGACATCGTGTAGGAATCGTATTGGTCTGCTGATACTAACTGACGTAGAGAAAACATATATGATTAAGAGAATCAATAAAAAACTCTCAATATATTTTTATTTCAATCAAAACTCAACTCCCTCAAAACAATCGAAGAGGAGTCTTTATATAGAACTCCTAACCCTAAATAAATACCTCGCCCAACAAGTAAACGACTCTAATAAATAAATAAGTTTCCTAACAAATCAAGAATGCCCTTAATAAATATTAAAACAAAAATAATTAAATAATTAAAACAAAAAAAATAATTAAACAGCTAAACGATCTTGCTTGTCCAAAAAGACCAACACAATCTCGTCTACATCAGGACGACTCTCGAACGAATAAACCAAGCATGAAGCTTCGTTCAATTAGAATCACTTAACGCAAATTCGAGGCAGAATATAGGAACTTCTTTGAAAGCTTATTTCATGATGAAGAGGTGAGTTGCAATTTATTTTTTCAATTTTGTGTGTGTTGTTATTTAAAATAAATGCATACTGTTATTCTATATATATTTGTAGTTTTATCATTTTAAAATATTTATATAGAGAGGTTGTATCACCTTACTGATACGAGCAACCAACATGAAAAAATGGATTAATACCATTTGAGAAGGCCAAGTCTATGGCATTCAAAAATACCAAGTTAAGGGGAACGTTGGCTCATTTTTGGCTCACAATTATTCAGTATAAAATTGTAATCAATGGTATGTCGAATTTGGTTAAGTTCAAATGTGACTTTCCCCTTTTTTGGTTTAATTTTCAAAGCTTTATTACCCATTTTTTGTTTGATTTCCGAAGGTTTTTAATCAGCAAGACAATTTTCCCTTATGGTCTCTTATATCATGACGATTAATGAAAGTCAAGGTCAACATTTCTCACATGTTGGTCATTACTTGAAGAAGTCGGTTTTCAGTCACGGCCAGTTATATTCAGTTGTTTTCCATGTCGGTAATCGAAATGTCGTGAAAATATTAGTTTGTGGGAATGATGGCTTGTCTACAAGGTAAACAAAAAAAGTTATATGAAAGAGGTGTTTAATAATAAGCAGGGGCGGAGCCACCCCAAAGGCTGGGGTTGGCTCCAGCCCGGTCTTAATTTTTCGGTACATGTAAATATATATATTAGTAAAAAATATTTTAGCCCATGTTATATTAGACTAGTCACATATTAATCTTGTTTTGTCCCAAAATAAATTATATTTATTTTAAATTAAATCAATGAATTATATATTTAAAAATAGTTTAAGTCTCTTTTCGCTTTACCTTTAGCTCATTATGTTGTTTTTCGTCTTTTTTTTTTGTGTTTATATTATATTATTTCATACATAAAATAACTAAATAAATTTATTTGTTTTTATATAGAATCAAATCATCAATTAATATTACTTAAAAAGTAATAAAATTGTATACTAATTAAAAAGGGTTACTTTAAATCTATATATATATAAAGAGGGAGTTGATGGAATTTATTGCTAAATAAAGATGATATGCAATGACTATAATTGGCAACATTTCTACATTTGTTTGTGTAATTGTAAGTTTAATTATTTTTGCATTTGTCAATAATACTTTAGATCCGTGTTTCCATTTGCATTTTGCATTAACTTAACTAAATTAGTATTCAATTAATAATTCAAATTAATATGGAATCTACAATAATATTTATGCGACTTACTATTCAACTACCTTTGAAGTTCCTAAAAGATATTGAATGAGAATTTTAAGAAAAAATCTATATAAAAATAATAATAAATTTCAGTTTCATTTTTTCTAAGAATAAAAAATCAATTTTAAGTATGAGAATCATTCAGATAGTTAATAATGCATAAATATATATATTAAATAATGCATAAAAATATATATACTACCAATTAAGATAATGACACTCAATGATACCATAAATATACGAACTTATAATTATACCATAAATCTATATCTATATCTATATTTATATAATGGATAAATCCTTATTGTCATAATTGACATGATTTTTGGTAGAAAAATTTTTCGTCTATATTTGACATTTAATTAATATTTATTTATTAACAAATCATATGCATAAAAAACATAATTAATTTTTATACACTCAATGACTATTACTCATTAACTACAAATTGACTTAAATTGAAATTGTGACTGTAAATTTATTAGATATATTTTCAGTAAGATCTTATATTAATTTAATAGTAATTTATTGACACAATTCAAAAAATTATTATGGAAATTTATTTGATTAAATATATTATCATCTATGGCTGTAGGTATTAATTTAATTAATTATATTCACTATTCAAAAGTACTTAAAATATTAATACAATAATTAAGAAAATATAAAACTATGTTTAAATCATAATAACTTAATAAATAATTTAAAATACTAATAAAAGTTTCAAATATGTAGTCAATTTAACTATAAAAAGGTACATCCCCATTGAATATATCATATGCAGTAATAATAATATCGAAAATTTAAATTTAAATAATACTAATAAAAATAAAATTTGATGGTCGGGTGCAATTCAGAATTATAAATTCCACCTTAGAAGTACCTATGTACATTAAAAACTATCCAATTTTTAAATATATTTATTCTTTTCTTATATACTATTTTATAAATGAAAAATAAGTTAATAAAAAAGCAATGTATAATAATTTAGATTATAGTACTTGGTAATTATGAAAATATATAATATATCAAAATATTCGAATTGATACTATGTAACTCATTATATAGGTTGAAAAAATGAATTAAAGAAATAAATATAAATAAAAATGGAAACATAAAAATAAAATATTTAACCATACAAAATTTGTGTGTTGCATAAGGATTAAAGTCACTAAAAATTAAAGTTTGTTTTTCAAAGTTTTTAACATTTAATGCACTTAATAATTCTAGACGAATATAAATATTATGGGTTAAACGTTGGGCAATTATCAAGCAATGTGCAAATTATGAATTGTTAAAAAATTATAAGACTATAACAAACAACGATTTTATAAGTATATACAAATACTTTGTATGCAAATATCATATGATCTTATACTTTTCTAATATTTTATAAACTTATAAATAATAAAATTTATATATTAAATAGTCAAAAATTACAAAAAACAATACAAAAATAGAAATTAACAATAATAATAAATAAACAAATGTCATATTATTACTGAACAGAATATTGTGGAGAATATAATTTCATATTGTCTTAAATAATTTTATAATATTTAAAATAATAAATATTTTTTGTATTGCGTCTCGTGCATCGCACGGGTATCAACACTAGTGTGTATAAAAGAGTAGTTAATAATTCACAATTTTTTTTAGGCGGCTCATATAATTGATTTTTATTCTATAAATAAAAAACCTCCATATTTCAATAGTATTTAATGCATGGTTCATGTACTTTATATTAATACTTCAACATTCTTTTCATACTTTTATTTTCTATATACGTGTCTAATTAGATTATTCGAGTCAAACACTTCATGTTTAAACTCATGTACATTTAATAAATTAGTTGCCATGACTCAACTCGTTTAATAAACAAATAGAAATGTGAGCGTCGTTTAAACTCGGTTTGACTCGTTTAATCAAATTTTAAATCTATATCAAAACTCAAAATTCTAACCGAGTCCATTGCGAACACGTTGAACTAGACCCATTTGATAGAAAAACTTGATTAGTTGTTTGACGTTAGCTCGTTTAAATATACAAGTGAGTCGAGTTTATTCCGAGTTTATTGATATGTTTTATTGATAGAAATAATAATAAGATTGGACAAATAACCATAAAATTATTCATCTTGTGCATCGCACGGATTCGATACTAGTTTTCTCAATATCAATCATGGAGAAAAATAAAACAGTATGAATTATTCCTATACATGTCTCATTATTTCGAGTTGCTCTTTCGACCTTCGATTTCTTCATTTGGGTAAGAAAACTGCACAACAAGAAGATAAAAGAGAATCCAACTCCAAATTTAACATTTGACTACAAATTTTCTACACTTATCCACTGATCACCAAACGTTTTTACACTTGATGATGTTCAGCAGGTTAGTTATTTTTGTATGACATGCCAGAATCTTGATTCTCAATTAAAAACAGCTTGTCATTATCTCTGGTGACTTCAATGGAGTCGATTTCTGCCCCTTCTTCATTAGTCAGCAATGCACTTGCCCCATCAAATCCAAACTTTTGACCTTTGCCAAATAAACACAACAATTCAAATATTCTCATATATGCAANAGGAAAAAAAAAAAAAAGCTTCCAATAAAACAAAAATGAAAATACCAGCAATGCCCTTGAGCTCCGCCAGGGAACTTGGCACCCTAACCAACCACCCGGGCTCGGCCCGTTCCTTTCGCCCCACCGGGTGGCCTCTGTACACGCTGACCCTCGCACAACCCAAACCTCTGCCATTTTCCCATTTTGCCCTCACCTCGTTTTCACCACAAACTTTCGGGCTCTGCTCGTCCGGCATAACTACACAGTGCCCAACCTCACGTTCGCGCAGCATCTGGTCCAGGTCAGCCGGGCAGATCCTGGCTCTGACAACCTCGTTAACCTCGGACCCATTCATGACGAGGAACCGAACCATGTCCAGGTGGCCCTTATTGGCCGCCACCTGGATGGGCGTGAGGCCGTGGCGGTTTTTAGAGTCGACGTGGAGGCCGTGCCTGAGAATGTCCTGCATTGTTCGCAGGTCGTTTTTAGCGGCGGCCGTGCAGAGGAGGTCTCCGGCCACGTGAGGGTCGGAAATGGAGGCCCAGTGGTAAAGGAGTCTGAATGTCGAGTGGTGCTTCGATGAGATGGCATCCCATAATGCCGTGTTGCCGTTTTTATCTACCATTTGAATAATGTGTATTAATAATCTGATCATATATCTTTTTTCTTTTGGGCTTTTTATTTAGGAAAAATTGCATTATTCATCCACCAATTATACCCGAGTTGCACTTCCGTCCTTTAATTATTTTTATTTTTTACTTTTGGTACACTATCATTTGTTTTTAGCAATTTTCATCCAAATCGAGGTTTCGGTGCTTATTTTTGCCGGAAAAGCTGATGTGACGCACAATCCGACTTGGCGCCACATCAGCTTTCTGGTGGAAAAAATGAGCACCAGAACCTTTGGACGAAAATTGCCAAAAAAATGATAGTGTACCAAAAGTAAAAAAAAAATAAAAAAATAAATTAAAAGACGAAAGTGCAATTCGGATATAATTAGTGGACGAATGGTGTAATTTTTTCTTTATATATATATATATATATATTTTTGAGTTTACCTCGGAGGTTTAAGCTGCAGGCGTGCTTGAGGAGGACGACTACGCATTCTTCGTGACCTTTGGACGCTGCTATATGCTGTCAGATATATGGTGCAACCAGAATAAAGAAGCTAATGAGATTCAGAGGGGAATATATGTGATGATCAGTCTTAATTATGGCAGGATGGTTGTAAAAGAAATTTACCAAAGGAGTTTTTCCTTGGGAATCTCCAACATCAGGGTCAAGCCCTGCCTTGAGAAGCTCGTTAAGAAAAGCAGAATTTCCGGTGGCCGCAACAGTCATCAAGTTGATGGACATGTTTGGATCACCGTCTTCTTCTTCGCCATCGAAGAATAAGTCTCGGAGCTGTAAGTCCTTGAGCTTTTTGTGATGCTACAAAAACACCACATTGTTCTTCAACTTATAAGGGTTTAAGAAATTAAGCATATTAGTGAAATGGTAAGCAAAAGCCTATTGCTGCACAAGGCCAATTTCAAAAGAACCCCTTATGTTCGTAAAATGTATAAGCTTATCTCCATGCAATTAACACACAACCGAACCACAAGAACACTCTCTTCATTTTTACGCCAAATCGCAGGGGTAGTTTTTTCGTAATTCAGTAAAACATCCAACAAATACCTTAAGGAAGTTCTTGAGCATGGTGACATTATCTTCCTGCCTCGTCTTCATTGCCTCAATGAGAGAGCTCGTTTTCAGCCTGAGAAGCTGGGAAAGCGTCTTTGTCCGGTAAGTGTAGCTTTGAGGAGTTGAGCAAAATGCCCCAACCTCCCCAAACACATCCCCACACTTGAAAGCCCACAACACTCTCTCTCTCTCCATCTCACACTCGATCATCTCAACTTCTCCCGATACTATAATGTATATATCGTCAGGAGACTCATTCTGTATTATCACATCCTCTCTCGGGGGAATATACTCTGCCTTCATATCTGCCACCTGTCACATTTTTATAAGGAATCACTTCTCAAAAACTTCCTCACTATAATCATTGATGGACTTAGCCTTACCAGGAGAAGGAGAATTTCCATTGAGACATCCTTAAAGAGGTAAACATTCTTTACAGTGGGTAAAAACAAATGGTGCTGGATGCTTTTGCATATTGTTTTGGGCAGGTGCTCGATAAGCTGCTGTTGGTTTAAGCTCTCGGCTTTGAATCTGAGACACATATAAGCCAGTATTTGTTCTCTCAGTCTCGGAGGCAGACGATTACGCGACACGAAGCTCGATGCAGCTTCAATGCTGTTTCTCTACCACAAACAAAGATAAAAAAAAAATTAAAATTGAAGTAGAATGATTTTGGAAATATAAATAAAGAAAAAAAGAAGGCAAAAAAAAAATGCATTTTTAGTCCTGTTGGTTTAACTTTATAGCAATTTTAGTCCCAGTATTTCAATTTTTCGCCTTTTGATCATGGGATTTAATACTTTGCTGCAGCAACAAAGTTTTAAATTATACCACTGAGATTGAAATAAAATTTTAAATTACAGGTCTCAAATAGCTAATCGAAAATTTGAAAATTTGGGTGCAATTACTGTCTTTTGAGGACTGAAATTGCAGCAAAATATTAAATCACAGGACCAAAAAGCGAAATGTTGGAACCTTATGATTAAAAATTGCTATGACGTTAAACCAGCAGGACTAAAATTGCAATTTTTTTTAAAAAAAAATATATATATAGAGAGCACTTACGAACTCCATTGTCCTACGGGTGCCCTCGACGACCAAATTGGTCATGTTGCCGATGATGTAAGCGGTGAGGCCGAGATTGAAGAGCATGTAGAAGATGATGAAGACCATCTCTAAGGTGTTGACTGCGTGTATATCACCGTATCCAACGGTGGTCATTGTGGTGACCGACCAATAGAGGGCCGAGATGTAGCGGATCAAAAGCCTCGTCTCTTTGAAATTGGGTATGGCCGAACCCATCCACGTGTTCCCTTCGTTTGGATATCGGTCCGCCAAAAAATAAGCCACGCATGCGGCACAATGCACTTGTAGTAACGTAACCTGCCAAATAATTTTGCACAAAGTTATTATTCCATTTTTCTATGACAGGCTAGCGGTAATTGCTGAAACTATCCATGAGATTTAGCCGAATTATGGAAATACCTCTAACTTTCTTCAATATTACATCTTGTAACTATATTTATTAGATAAATGTAAATCTAGAGATTTTTTAGGGAAAAAGAAATATATAAAAAAAATAGTGATTATACTACATGGAGTACTGGGTGAATTTGCCTTGCCATTTGTACTTACAAACAAGAGTCTGGCACATCTGACCCAAAAATAGCTAAATCTTATATCCTTCTCAATCCTGCATTATAGTGCACCGCAACATATATGATTAGTCACTAAACTAACATCACAACAACAAAAATAAATAAACAAATATAGGTAGGTAAGTAAATTGAGACATTTAACAAGAAATGCAAAAAAATAAAATGAACAAATTAAAGTCTTGCATCTAGTTTAAGCGTGTATAAATTAAGAAATAAAAGTAAGGAAAAAATGGTGGATATATATATATATATACATATATATATATATATATATATATATATACCTGGTAAAGAAAGTTTTGACACGACGTAGACGCCAAAACCTAAGCATTCCAAGGACAGAGTAAGAGACGGAAGTATGGCGTTTGCCTGAGATCAAGTAAGCTAACGTCTCCAAAGGTAGGGTCGACGCCACATCCATTATAAACCATGTCGATAGGTATCTGCATCCATTTATTTATTTATATATCTCTCATTTTATTATTTAAGCAATACAAAAGAAAGTGATTATTATTGGACAATATAATGATTATTTCAGTGATACAACTATATATATCGAAAATTTTCAAAAGAGTGAGCATGATATGATATATTGTTTTAAATACCATCATATCTGAAAACTTGAATGAATAAATCGTTATCATACTAGTACAAATTAATTATGAAAAGATTATGATGATAAATGAAATGTATGCATAATAAAATCTTTATCATACTAGTACAAATTATGAAAAGATTATGATGATAAATGAAATGTATGCATAATACGCGTTGTACTATTTTTTCCTTGGTTGATGTTGTGTCTCATTGGCTTTTTCCAGCAATGTTTCCAATGAGTAACAGGGGTGACGTATTGACATGAATAGCGTACTCTCTTTCTTTTATTAGGATTTTGTCCTACCAATTTTGTTCCGACAAGTAGGGGTGTTCACGGTCCGGATTGGTCCGGTTTTAGCCCAAACCATAACCAAACCGGACCTAGCGGTTAATTTTTTTTCTTGTCCATAATCGGACCGGTTTTATTTTTTAACCGACCACAATCCGGACCGCATTAGACGGTCCGGTTTGGCGGTTAACCGGTTAAATCCAAAATCCTTGTTTTGGGCCTTCAATTTTTATTTTATTTTATTTTTTTTTATAATTTTGGGCTTAATTTTTATTTTTCAATTTTGGGCCCAAATGAGATTATTTGGGCCTAAAAATTAAGAAAAACAACAATAATGAAATAAAAAAAATACATAATTCGTCCCATAAGCATAAAAATACACATTTCGTCCCATAAACATAAAATTACAAAAATGACGAAGATAAATTATGCAAAAGGCCAAAAAGTGAAAGTGAAGACTGAAGTTGTTGGCCATAGTGAATAACTGAATGTGTGTATATATATATATATATATATTATAGTTTTTTAATATTTATCGGTCCGGTCTGGTTAAACTGGCGGTTTGCCACAGGTAATCCATTAACCGGACCAGTTATTCTGGATTTTTAAAAAAATTAACCACCGGATTTTTTAAGGCTTTTTTAAGTGACCATTTAACCGATCCGCGATCCGGATTGACGGTTTATTTCGGTTAAAACCGAACCGTGAACACCCCTACCGACAAGTTTAGATATGTTCAGAGAATAGGATTGTTATGAATATCTCCCCCAAACGACTGTATTAAATTGTGTCAAGTGTGAATGACTATTTTGTCCTTGTTTAAATTGTATATTCACGATTGTGTCATCAGAAGTTTTTTTTATAAATAGCAATTTTAATTAGAATGAAATTTATTCCAATAGAATACATTCTCTCTATTCTTTATTTTTTCAGTTTAATTTTATAACACACCGCATATAATTCTAATNNNNAAAAAAAAATCTGGTGTAAGACCTCAGCTAGGTCATCAGGCGACTTTCCTGGGCCCAGAATTGGGTTCTGAGGTAGAAAAATATGGGCCGATGGGAACCACCCCAACTGACAAGATTAATTATTGTACATGTAAAGAAGGCGACTTGGTATCTTCTAGTTGGACCACATAACCCATGTCCTATTAGGTTTATCTCGTTCAACTCTTTAAGTCCGCCAAAACTGTGTGGCCAATAATTAATCTCTAGTCACAAATGTAAAGTTGAGTTGAAAAAGATGGAATATTATTGACCCACAAGATTCTCTAAAAGCAAAATCACAAGATTTGAATTTTTATCATGTTACTCGTCAGTCGTGACATGTATTCTAACGACTTCATCTACGTAATAAAGTTTTATAGCATCTAGGATGATATATAGATTCTTCATTTATATAATATTGAAAATGTTTGAAAGTATTTTTAGATGTAGAAGTATTTATAAACTATTCTATTATTTATTTAATTTATTTTTTTTTTTCTAACCAATTGCAGTCTTATATGTCAAATTATACGACAATTAATATTATTAACAATTAGAAATACAATTTCTTGTTATTTTTTTTTCTGTATATTGTACGTTTCAAAATTGACAATATATTATGTTCTTAGATGTGGTTTTAGTTTCGGACACTCTTTCTTTGACCCAAAAACAAACTGCTATTATTTATTCAAAATATATATATATAATTGGAAAAAAAAGTTAGGACATAAACTTCATAGTGTCAACAATCACACCACTTAATATCCTTGTTTTGGAATTATATATACAGATTATCTAAGTTACAATGGCTTGCGAAAATTCCACTTTGGTGCCTTTATGTCATATTCTACCTAATTATTTCTCGCTCTCTTCCATTTTGAAGACGAAATTAGTTATGTGGGCGGAATACATTAAATATACGTAGTTGTCTCGAAAATTAATTAATTGATTTTATTACTACCTCGTATTTATAATTTGAAAAATCGTATACTGTATTGTATGTTAATACTTCAACTCCGGATTTGATCTTATGATTACTACATCAGCTGATTCCATGAAAAAACTCTAATTTATAATAGCACATAATAGCTAAAAGTTAAAGCGAAATAGTGGCAAGAAGAAGCAAATATATACACACATACATAATAAAATAAAATGAATTAGTGAATAGAAATGAAC